CCCAATGTGGAGCTCGATCCCAGGACCCTGGGATCATGACCTGAGCCAGAGGCAGACGCTTAACCATCTGAGCCACCCAGGCACCCCTAGAATCTCTTTTTAATCCAAGTCACTTCTGGAGAGTCCGATATTGTCCTAAGGAGACTAGATTTTCATGGAGACTATTCATAATCAAGTATTTCTGAATTCCGGAATAGTTTCCTAAAACCCAGTTTTATTCCTTACTTTTGGCTTTGCCTTAGGTTCTTGGATCTCGACGTGGACATAATTTTAGTGATTTATTCAAGCTCTCTTAACTTAGAGATGAAGAAATATGAAGAGGGCCACCTCCTTGTGTTACTTTAAAATGTATTGCATGGAGCACTGGGTGTTATATACAAACAATGAATCATGGAACACTACATCAAAAACTAATGATGTACTATATGGTGACTAACATAACATAATAATAAAAAAAATCTATCCACAGTTAACTAAAAAAACAAAAACAAAAACAAAAAAACAGTGGTTCTCAAACTTGAGCATCAGGATCCCTTGGAAGTCTTGTTAAAATACAGATTTCTGGCCCTATCTCCTGTGTTTCTAATTCTGCAAGTCTGGGACGGAGTTTGAGATTCTGCATGTTTAACAAGTTTCCAGGTGATGCTCATATTGCTAGTCCTGGGACCACACTTGAGAACCGTTGCTTTGACCTAATTCCTTTTCAGACCAAATCAGAGAACTTCTTTTCCTCTTGCTGGTGAAAAAAATCTTTCAAATATGTTTAGATTTTTTTTTCTACTTGATCATCGTTTCACTGAACCTATGTGCTTATATTTTTCCAACTTTCCAAGAAAGGTACATGTTCTGGTACATGTTGCCATTTGTCTTTATCCCTTGAGTCACCAAGACCAGAAGTTCAGCCACAAAGATGAATAATCCCTTGACCTCTGTGCCCAGCACTCGTGCATTCTGGCCTTGCTCCTATGCAGCTCCCCATCTTGCAGCTGTTCCTGTGTGTTCTCAGATGTAGGGGGCTGAGGAGGGCTCAGTCTTACTTCTCTAACATGTCATATAAAGTATCTGTCAGCTTTTGGTAGTTTGTTATGAAAGGTATGATTTGACTCCCAACATTTAAATATACTTAAATAGAGCAACGCACTGTGAAACTCTACTGAAATGGGGTTTAAGTTTCCCTCTGTATATCACAGGAGCTAAATATGCCTTGATTTCAGCAGGTCATTATCTTATGGTTATTTTGAAAACTAGCTTAGGCCTGGAAAGAAGTTCAGAGAGCAGACACAGGTTGAGATAAACATTGACTAGGTTGGTCAATTCCCATAGGAGAAAGTAGAATCCTATCAGAGTAACCTGGTTCCGTTCAGCATTTATTGAGAGCCTGCAGTATGCTGAAGACCATGCTGGGGTTTGAGTACACAGAGATAGAAAGATGTATCCGCAGAGGCAGCCTAGCATCATGGTGGTGAGTGTGGACTCTGGAGCAGGTAGGATTGAATTCAAGTCTCATCTCCATTAATGATGGGCCAATATGTAAACTTGCAAGCTTAACTTCTTCTCATGTATGAAATGGGAATAAAAAACACCTACTTTGAATGTGTGTCCAAGTCCATAATGAGATAATGCCTCGTCTAGGGCTGCTTGGGCTGCCATAACAAAATACCATAAACAACAGAAATTTATATTCTTGTTGTTCTGGAAACTGGAAAGTCCAAGATCAGTATCTGGCAGGGTTCATTTTCTGGTGCAGACTCTTGCTAGCTTGTAGATGGCCACATTCTCACTCACACAGCCTTTTCTCCAGGTCCCCATGGAGAGCAAGAACAAGCTCTCTCGTGTCTCCTCTTGTGGGGCACTCACCCCATCATGAAGGCCCTCGTGACCTCATCTAACCCTACTCACCTCCAAAGGCCCATCCCCAAGTACCATCACATGGGGGGGTGTGGTTTAGGGCTTTACCATGTGAATTTGGTGGTGGTGGTGGGGTGGGGGGAGACGGGGGACACAAACGTTCAGTCCGTGCCTGTAAGTTGTTCAGCCAGTTCTTGGAGTTAGAGAACCACTCTGCTAACTTTCCTCATGAATGCTTCCTTCCTTCTCCAGCATCTGCTGCCATCACTTGGAGCACTGTTGTGAAGGCTAGAAATACACTGAAAAGTTTTAACCAGCTTTTAAATTTGTTCCATGTAGCAGCTTCTCTTATCAGAGCCTTTGGGGATAAATTTAATTAGCAGACACTTTCCTTTTTCTGAGTTCTAATTGCCCAAATACTATCTTGAGCTCAGTATCGATTCCCACTTTCCAGTAATGTGATTGTAGTCTCCATGGGAAAGCTCTGGAATCTAGTTTCTCTAAGTGGATATTGAATTTAATTTGAAAATATGAGAATTTCTTTGGGTGTGCCTTGATGTGTTCATCAATTCATGATCCTGTAAATGTGATCTAAGAGTTTATAACAGAAAAGCATTATGTACTTCTCATACTTCACTTCTAAAATTCCGATACTTCATTAAACTACTTCAGCACTGTGTATTCTCTGTTAAATAGGAAATCTTAACTGTGTCCATTTGTTAAGGTTAAGTTAAAAAATGTGCTTCTGTATCATGAGCTGGTTGTCCAACCACAGTTGTTTTATGAGTGGAGAGAGTGGTAGATGGGAAAGCCAGGACAAGACAGAGAAGAAAGGAATCACATGCCAAAGGCTCCCAAGTTGAAGATTATTTCTCTGAAGAAAACAGAACCTCATACCTTCCCCAGAATGGTTGATTCCCACTTTCACACGTCACTGAAAATACCATGTGTTTTAATTCCAACAGAAAACCAAACCCTTGATGACGGAATTCTCGGTGAAGTCTACCATTATTTCTCGTTACGCCTTCACTACGGTTTCCTGTAGAATGCTGAATAGAGCTTCCGAGGACCAGGAAATTGAGTTTCAGATGCAGATTCCAGCTGCAGCTTTCATCACCAACTTCACTTTGTAAGCGACAGTCTGGTCAGAGACCTTGGAATGGAGATGTCTGTGTGGGGTGGCCAGGGTGACCCTGAGAGGATGTGAGCTCCACAGCCTTCAGGTGTGAGAATTTCTCCCAGCGAATGGTTGGGAGAAGGATGACTCCCTCCTTCCTGCTCTCCTTCCTTCTCTACCTTCCTTCTTCCCTTTCTCTCTCCCTTCCATCCCTTCTTCTTCCTTCCCTCCTTTTCACGATCTCTTCTTTCATTCTGTTCCTGTCTTCTTCCTGCCTTCGATTCCCCTTCTTTTCTTCTGTCTTTCTCTCCTTCCCTCCACAAACAAGTGCCCACTCCGGGCCAGGAGCTCTTCAAAGTGAAGTGTGTACTTCTATGAAACAGACAATGTTGCTCGGCTGCAGAAATTGCAGTGGGAGAAATAATAAGTAAGTAAACAAATCAATAAGTGAGATAATTTCAGACCATAGCGAGTGCTTAAAGATGGCAAATAGGACCGAGAGGGGCTTGTCTAGGCAGGGAGAAATCAGGGAGGTGGCTCAGAAGAGGCCAAGTTTAAGTCGAGATCTGAATGATGAGATGGCGTGATCCCTATGATATACGAGGTGAATTGTTTCATCTTTTCTTCTGAACTAGGAGGTAAAGACATGCGAAATAGGGTGGATTTTGGGGGTGTCCTTTTGGGTCTGGGCAAGATTCAAGCTGGTGAATCTTCATGGAAATTTGAGCAGATCTGATTTCCTCCTGGAGAATCCCAGAGGCACCATGGGTCAGGCCTGACTATTTGGACCTGTTGAAAATTGCCCTAGAATGAAATGAATGATTCAAGGATAGTGCCTTGGTCTGGAATGCATTCTTTCTGGATATCCAAGAGTCACATAAAAATATTTTCTAGGGTTGTCATGGTTATGAGATCCATGTTTGAATTTGTCTTGGAACTGCAAGGTGGTAACACAGCTGTCTCTTGTATTTCAGGCTCATTGGAGACAAGGTGTATCAGGGAGAAATTACAGGGAGAGAAAAGAAAAATGGTGATAAGGTAAAAGAGAAAAGGAATAAAACCTCAGAAGATAATGGGTAAGTGCCATGGAGTTAAGTAATTAAAATCCACTTCAGCAAAGGGCCACATTTCCTACTCCTTTGCCTACCCATCTTTTTCTCTTCCCTTCCTTCAAGGATTTATCTGCTTTTTATTGTTATCATATAGTAAGTAATTAAATATATATAGTTAACAGTATAGCAGGAAAGAGTTTATAATAAAAAGGAATATTTTACCACTCCCACTCCCCAGGTCTCACCCCTAGAGACACCCACTTCTAATATTTCTGTAGTTTCTTTTTGTAGTGACCTCCCTAACTCTAAAACTTATAGTACTTTCTTGTTTTTTAAAAATTTCTTGATAAACATCAGACATTATCTGTTGATTCTCTGCTGTGAAGGAAGACGATTTAGCATATGTACAACACTCCCACTTTCCCTCTGCATTCCACATTTTCACATTCTTATCTCTTCTTCCATCAATGTAAGCCGTGTTACACCATCTTAGAATAGCCCTACTATCTTAAATGATAATTCCCTCTCCTTCACTGAAACCCTACCTTTCCTTTCCCATTTCCAGTGCCCATCTTTTTCTACATGATCATTTACTTTTGCGCTGTCAGAGTTACCAACATTTAAATTCCGATCTGTAATGACATGTATTTTCTTTGTTTTGTCTATAACTTGAATCTAAACATTGAAAACCATTAACTAGTATTTGAGTTTTAATGATTACATAAATGGCATTAACTGCAGAGCCACTTGGTATACTAAGATTCTATTTCCCTCTCTACCCATTTGAAGAAAAGTGATCTGTTCCCTTTGAAGAAAAATGATCTTGGTATCCAGATAAGTTGGTGTGAACATGTGACCCTGTTTTTGTTCGTTAATAAAAGGATGCAGTTTTGGGAAAGCTTGTTCTTTAAAATCATAGACTGTCAGAAACTTTGCTGTTGGAAATCCTATTAGCGAGAATGGAACATCTCACTCTTGCCTGGAAGATGTGAGTCATGGGTTTACTTTGATACAAAAAGCAGCCAAGGTCCACAGCTTCAGATAAGGCATTGTTGGACACAAAAGTCCACATTTATCTTAACTTTGTAGTTCCTAAGGACAGAGAACCTCGAGTTTGCTTCTCCCTCCAGACTGAGAAGGAAGACTCCCTCCACTAACCACTTTACACACAGCCCTGCTTTTTTTCGAGCCTCCAAACACTGTTTCATTTAACCTTATCTACACTCCACTTTTCTCCCAATCCTATGATATTACCCTATGTCCTCCTTTGTTTGGCAAGATTCTCCATGATGCCTTTGGTATGTAGTCTCCCCTCCTGCAGCAGTTTATTAAAATCTAATTTTGTTGGACTGCAGGTGGATCCCGAGTGGTCTTTATTAGATGAGTGTTATGAAGATTATTTTTCACATTACAATTCATAAGTTGTTCATAATTATGCCACAGTTTAGTTCAGTTGGATCACAACATATGCATTTGTTTTTCCTGGAGTTTTTAATTGTCTCTCTTTTTTCTTATGACATAAAACATAATTTGTTACTATTAACATCTAGCAAGACACATAACTCTTTTGAAATGGTGACTAAATGAACAGCTATGACCTAGTTCTGCAAGCGATGACAATGCTGCAGATGCTGTCATTGCAGATGCAAATTCTGCAATGCTGTTGTTGCCAACAGCAGTTGGAAGGCATCACTGATCGGGAGGTACATCATGATTTCAGAGCTGTCTATCATGGAAGAATGGTGTCTCTAGGTCCATGGAATACTGTCATTACTTTGCAGCCTTGTCATCAATGTTTACCCTGGGATTTCTTTTCATTTTCTTTTGGGTTGCTTTTATTACTCCTTATATTCCATAACTTCCTCTTTCTTTTTCACTTTCACTTTGCTGGAGTATATTCTAAAGTAACTCCCCCAGAATAGATGTATGAGAGACACACTTTCTGAGACCTTGATTAATATTTTGACTGTATATGGAGTTTAAGATTGAGAATAATTTATCATCCCAACTTTGAAGACATTGCTCCCAGTGTTTTATAACATCTGGCATTGCTGATGATGCATCTAATGTGGTCTAATACTACTCCTTTTCTGTGTTTCCTCTACCTGATGTTTTGGGAGTTTACAATAATGGGTTTAAGTGTCAGTCTTTTTTCAGTCATTCTCCCTAGCTTTTTAGCTCTGGGAAAGAGGAGTGTAGAAAGCCTGTCATCTTGGTCATTCATTCATATATGGACTTGGAGGTCTCCTTCCTGTATTTGGTGCCCTTCCCACTCACATCTTATGCTGAGCCAGAGCCTGCCATCTCTCTGATGTTCTGTAGATGGTTTGCATCTTGATCCTTTGCTGCAGCCCCTGCCTACATAGTCTGAGCTGTAGAGTTCTGGCTCTACTGAATTCCCCATCTTCCAGAAATGTTTTGAAGTGCCATACCCACTGATGATTGCCCCTACCACTCATTCCTTTGGTTCAATCCTTTACTATCCCTTTTATGGTCAGTCTGCCGTCTTGAATCAGAGAACCTTCACTCCAAGCACTGAAAACATTTGGAATGGCTGGTATTTTTATATGCTTTGCAATCCTTTATTCTTTATCCTTACCCCTAGCCACAACCACCAAGCTTTGCAAAGTGTAAAAACCTAATATATTAGCTATTTTAAAGTGACCTCAGATGTCAGGCTCGTTTGGTCATTCCAGTAAAGAGAAAAATGCAATTCACATCTTGACTCCAAAACTCTCTTTTCCAGCAGTTCACCGGTTTCAATATTCCCTTTCCCCTTTGCCCCCTCAAGCCTGACTCAGGGAGAGGTAGGAAAGTTCAGCAGTCTTTGAATTCTGTACTCTTCAGTATTCCTTGAAACTTTGTAACCTTCCTCTAGTTCAGGTCTTTGCTTCTCTTCCCAATACTAATATGCAGTTTTTCTTCTAAGGACTCTCTTGAGAGAGTGGCCAGTGCCCTGAAGGGATTTGAGGGAACCTGGCTTTCTCTGACCGACCCTGTGTTCCCTTTTCTCTTCCTTACAGGGAGAAGGGGACCGATATGTTCAGAGCCTCTATCGTGATTCCCAGCAAGGACAAAGCTGCCTTCCTCCTCAGTTATGAAGAACTCTTACAGAGGCGGCTGGGGAAGTATGAGCACGTTATCAGTGTGCGGCCCCAGCAGTTGGTGGGGAGGCTGATGGTGGAAGTGAACATTCTGGAGAGGTCCGGCATCGAGTCCCTGGAGGTGCTACCCTTACAGCACAGCCAGCAGAAGGACAGTGGGAGAGGGAAAGGTGAGTGTGATCGCCGGGTCTCCTGTGCTAACTCAGAGCGGGGCGTGGGCTTCAGAGAAATCTATAAGACAGAGGGCACCCCTTCAACAAAGGCTCCGAGAGCCGGCAAGAATCTGAGAGGTAGCAACACAACAAAGGCAAAGCCCTGTACAGTTTTGTTTTGTTTTTTTAAAGCTGTTTCTATCTGGAGATTTAAAGATGTTTAAATCACTTGACACAGTAATCTTACTTCTGGGCATCTAATCCAGGTGAAGCATCTAAAATATTGGGAATGTTATACACGCAATTCTGTTTGGTAACATTTGTAGTAGCAAAAACATTCTGTCGTCCTAAATATTCAGCCATACAAACGTGATTAGTAAAATAGGGTTATGACAACAATGCAGCATGTGATGGGGAGGAAAAAGACACACTTGTACGCACTTTGTAATGTTAAATATGTTAAGTTTGTTAAATGTGAAGTTGACAAAAGACTAGAAAGTTCTATAAAATAATCCTTTTATTCTAGGGGGTGAGGGATTACAGGGTTATTTTTCTAAAAATCTATTTTTGAAACACTAAACATTTAACACTAACATACACATTTCAATGATGTATGAGACTCTTTCTAAAATTAAACAGTGAAAACCGTGTACTGTACATTTGATTGAGTGCAGGGACATTTTGGTTCATTACCAGGACCACCGTGAGATTTTTCTTAAATTCTGATTTTTAAAATCGCACTCTATTTGTTGAAATGATAATGATAAATTCAATACAATCTAGTCTTATTTACTATATTAATTTCAGCTGATAGTTTATATGAAATGTTCACAGGTGTTGGGCCTTACCCTAAGTAGACCAGTCAGGCTTCATGTCAAATCCGATAACAAGACAGATGTGTCAGAAAGTTGCACCAGGATTGGACTCTCTCGATTTCGGGTATCTGTATCTGAGTCTGGAGGATCCCAAGAAGCCTGCTTTGGCAGGAATGTTTAGGAATGAGATTGAGAAGAGAGTAGAGACATGACTTGACAAGGGGGAAAGGAGAACGTTGTTATTTAACGTAATGTGAAAATAGTCAGGACCCAGGGCTGGTGTGCAGAAGAGTGAACCATGCGGAAGATGCTCTTTCCTCTCGCCAGCACACAGTTCTGTTCATTGCTGTCCACGGGACAAGGAGTTTCATCTCAGAGACTGGAGTGTGTCTTGGTTCTGTGGGAAACTCAGGTCTTTTGTTATGTGGCCATTCCCAACACTGAGTTTGATACTCTCAATCTAGATTGCATTAAAAAATTAAAAATATTATCAAGGTATCTGACTTTCAGAAATGGTGTGAGATATAATACACCATTCTTATGTCCTAGAGGCCCCCTCTGTGTGGTTAATGGATTTTAGTTCAGCTGTTAACTAGAACTCTGAAAAAAATTACCTAGGCCTTGGAAGACTCAGCTTGCACTGTAAAGCAGGGACAACAACTCTTTCATAGGGTCATTGGGAAGTGTGTGTGCGTGTGAAGTGCCCTGTCCAGAGTAAGGGCTTAATAACAAAGTATTATATTATTATTACCATTATTACCTTATATTGACTTTTTCTGTGCAAATCTTCTCTCCCCTATTAGAGCATAAGTGATTGGGAAGGCAGTTCTGTGTCCGATTACTTTGTCTCCTTCCGGTATTTAACACAATGCCTTTTAAACAGTGGATAGCTAATTACGTGCTTGCAAATTAAGAAAGAGAAAGAAATACACACCCAAACTAATAACGAGGGATGTTTTAAAATTTCATTTCTTCCTAATCATAATCTCTAGGGAAATTCTCCTATGTTTAGCCATGTGAAGGAGGGATATTTTCAGGAGGAAGAAGATTCTCTACAAGTTGCTGGAATCTCCGAGAGGGCAGGGCCGCTGTGGCCCATGTGTATGGGACGGGGCCTAGGGCTCAGCCACGCCTGGAGGCACTCAGCTGTGGGGGACTACGCAGGTGGTCCTGCTGCAGTAATGAAATGTGTGCGCTTTGCCTCATTTTCAGAACCACCGCAACTCTTCCAGGGATGTGTATGAGTTGTGGTGTGTGTGTGTGTGTTATATTTGGAGGCCCTACAAATTAATGATTGTTAGTCAAAAAGTTGCTTACTGTTTTTATTCTGGGCCTGTGAGAATCTCAGAGGAATTTTTCCAGACCATTGACCTCTTGGGATCTATTATTTTTAAGAAAGTTGTTTTCCTAGCTTTTTGTACCAAAGCGGATATATAGCCTTCCAAAGCATGGAGATTTCACAAGTATGTACCCAAGCCAGGTGCAGTGGACTGATTCCCTTTTGGCTGCTCATTCCTATCCTTCAGCACTCAGCTGTTACTGTCCCTGCAAAATGGCAGCCCAGCATGAGAGGCACAGGATGTTGTGATTTTTGTCTGGACACTATTGCGTGCTACCAAAAGAAATCCAGGGTAGAGATCAAACCAGAATCAGGCTTGCACCAGAACATGAGCTGTAATTGTGTGAATGTGGAGCCATGCCAGTACATTCCTCTCCTAGATCTCCCTGCCACTAAGAGATCAGACTTCTGGAATTTCTCAAAGCAAATCTCTGACCACTGGACCCATTCGCATCCTTAGGGATGCGCTTCTGGATTAGGACTACTGTGTGCTTGGTACTAGACTCAGCACTTGCTCTATTGTATCTCATTCAGTCTTTATAACAGCCTTCTTGGGTTGTACTCTTTGTCCCCATTGTATTTGTGAAGAAGCTAAGGTTTGCAGAGTTCAAGTAATAGGAACAAGGACTCATATTTAATTATTGTTAGAAACAGAATCTGAGCATAGAGCTAACTGACTCCAACTTCATGCCCTTACCCACTGAACTGAGTACATAGAAGATTGTAAAATCCTGAGGATGTGAGTTCACATTCCTCATCTCTCCCTAGTTGTGTAAGAATGAAAAGAAAGGCTCAAAGCAATAGAACCTGTCTTTGATCAGTTTAGTCGTCTGGTATATTGGGATCGGGCCCAGAGCCATTACACCATAAATTCATGGGCTCCATCTCAGTGTAAAACTACTTCTGTGAGATCTAATTTGGAAGCCAAAGTTTTATACTTATTGGATTACTAAAATATTTAACTCATGTACATGGTTCAAAATCTAAAAGATTATAAATTGGTTTCCAGTGAAACACAAGACTCTTTCTCTTATGCCCCCCACCCCCAGTTCCTCTCCCCCCTAAAATATTTTGGTGATTTATGAGCTCAGTGGGACAGAGTCTCTGAAACTAAGACTTTTCCTTGAACATCATGGGATGTGTGAGTCTCTGAAGGTGTATGCCAAGATAGATATTTCATGTATGTGGTTGGTTCAAGGCTGGTTATTTCACTTTCTGTGTTAAAATCTTGAACTTCCTAATGTTCCAGGGTGCCTAAATTACTGCCCTTTCCATGATTCCAAATTGCTTTTGGCAGAAAATTCTTATTTATGATAAGATCCCTGATAGCTGAGAATAAAATAGAATGAGATAAAGTAAGAAATAAGGTGTCTTGCCTGTTTTATTGCCTTTTGCTTTAAATCAATGACACTCAAACCTGGCTATACCCTTTAGTCACCTGGAGAGGTTAAAAAAAAAAGATACAGTTGCCTGAGTCCCACCTCAAACACTTGAATGAGAATTTCTCAGGGTAAGGCTTAGGTAGCTGTATTTTTGGGTGTGATACTTTTATGAATTTATACAAGAAACCAAAAAATATATGAGTGTTTTTGACATGTTTATTTAGTTGTAAAGCTAAAGAATAATGCTTATTTTTCTACCACTAAATAGGTATGGTTCTATGACTTTCATAGAGTTTCCCCTTTATATTCTTTGCTTTTTAAAAAAGCAGTTTTATTGAGGTTTAATTTACATAGCATAAAATTTGCTCATTTTAAGTATATAATTCATTGATTTTTAGTAAATTTGCAGAGTTGTGCAACCATCTCCACAATCCAGTTTTAGAGCATTTCTATCACTCCAAAAGATCCTTGTATCTCTTTGCAGTCACTCCCTGTTCCCACCCAGCCCCAGGCAGCCACTAATCCACGTGCTGTGTCTCTTCAGATAGCTGTATTTTTAAAAGCACCCCAGGTGATTCTGATGCTCTATAAATGTTGGGAACCTTTACTTTGAACTTACTAGCAGACTTTAGGGACAATAACTATGTCAAAATCTGAACCTACAGAAACACCTTTTAAAATAAGTAAGATTGTTCTTTTACTTTCACGGGACCCTCAGAATACTTTTGATCCTTATTAAAATGTATATCGTTCCTCTTTTCCACCAACATGTTTTTACTACTGGATACAGGCCAACATAGGATTACTCACACAGTTGGTGGAAAATAACCTCTTCCTGTATGCAGCGTCTTCTGTTCATCAACATAGATGGAACTTGAAATGGAAAAGTACCAACAGGCCATCCCAGTGGGGCTGGTGCAATCTTTTTAGTATAGTCTTGAGCTCCTTAAACTAGGTATCCCATCTTCTCTTGGAAAAGATAAATATGATCATTCAGTGCATTTTTGGGGTCAAAAGAGCTTCTCTCTTTTCCTTGATTCCCACCGTGACTTTCTGACCTCTCCTGCTCTTCCCCACTCTTCCCCACACCACAGTGAGAGCAGAGGCTCCTACCTTTCGAAGCCCGGCTTACTGTCCCGCCTTCATCCTGCCTGTTTCACACAGCTCCTTTGCCTGGCTCAGTGGCTCCCGAACAATGGCGCACATTAGTACCAACCAGGGAGCTTTTGGAGATCGATTAGCCATGCCAATTAAATTAGAGTCATCAGGGATGGAAATCAGAGGATTGCCTTCTTGTTTTCAAGTGTTATTTGGCTTCATTCCTACCTCTTTGTTCCCTAAAACTCTAGTCCTGGGCTGCTGACTCTGTTTCCAAGCTTCCCAGCTGGAGTTCCTGAGTAAATCTCAACTCCTCATCTTTGTCAAAACCAATGGACTCATGTGAAGTCACCCTAATCTGACAATAAAAGGAAATTTTAGTTTCAGGAGCTAGAAGACCATCTTCATTTTCTCCCAGTGTATGGTTCATCTATGATATGGGCCCATACTCAAGAACACAGAAGAAAGCTAGAGTATCAGTTTGTGCTCTTAAAATACGTTCTAAAAAGACAACCTACAGA